AAATATTTACCACCTGGCCCGATGCCAGTGAAGACAAATTCTTCTAAGTCAGTGGTAAAACCTCATTAAACATCCACCTCTTCCTCTGAAAGTCCTGGCACAACACTGATCACTACCACAGCCATGAACTGAAGGACTGAGGAAGGAAAAACCAAAAATATGCTCTCTTTCCTTAGTAAAATAAAATAAAGTGAAAACATCCTACCAACAAATTAACAGAATGCTAGACAACTGACTAATCCTGTCAAAAACCCTCCAAAATACTAAATGTCTGCTTTCTTACAAAACACATGAAACAGAATCACAGAACACATGAAATGCCACCCCAAAATTACCTGAGTCACTTTAAATCACAGAATGCAGACATCATGTGGCATCTCTGAGCCACTGCACAGGCAGTCAACAGTGTTAATGATTTTTAGATTAAAAGAAAATTCTAACCAGCTAATCTTCATGACACAGAGTTTCTTGAGACACCTGTTAAAACACCTTGACTTTCTTGCTAAGTGGGAACCTACCAAGTCCCTGGGAATGGGTATCATGACCCAGGGTGCCACTCCTGCTGATCCCAGTCCTCAAACAGAGCCCCTTTTGGCACACACACAAGGCACAATTTCCTTTCATCCCTGCACCTGAAAGCTCTGGCTCCTACACTCGATACCTCCAGTATCATGAAATTTCAAGCTGAGTTTGACAAGCTTTAATAAATTAGTCACAGATCATCCTAAAATGTACAATAATTGATCCTCAAGCTGCATAAATATTCAGTAGGATCTGGATATGAAATCTGGAAAGCTGTTACATAATTCCTGTGAAGATTGCTGAAAGAGGACAATATCAGAATGCCACCTGTGTAATTGAGATTAACTAAGACACAGAGCCCTTACTTAGGAAAAAAAATATTTCAAAGGACCATGCAGCACTATTTTTTGTTTGACTAAAATAAGGTTTTCTCCCTTCAGGAGAAAAGTAGCAGTAATTAAATATCTTTCCAATGAACAAAATATTTCCAGGACTAATATTTTGCAAGGTGCTTCCATCAAAACTTCTGGAATTTTACAGGCTTCTTTCAGTTACAAAATAAAAAATAACAAATAAAACTAGTACTGTAGACCACAACTTGTGGTTACACTATTACCTGATAGGAGCCAGGTTTTTAATGTATGGGATTAACAGTGCATTTAATCAATCTTGGTAACACAGGGAGTAGACAGCAAAATTGATTACTGTTCAGATAATAAAATGTTGCATTTTAAAACTATTGGTATTATCAGTACAGTCACAACAAGTATTTTCCTCCCTTCGCCCATTCTGCTGTAATTCTGTGAAAATGGGCTGGCTCTGCAGAAATACAAGGGTCCGTGTCAGGAAAGCTTTTTACTTAGAGGCTAAGAACCACTCACTTTTTATACCTCAATCAGTGGGTTGAAAGATTTCTGGTTTATCTGCCAAGAATGACTATTTTAATATCTGCAGAATTAGACAGCCAATGTATTAGAATTTTTACAGAACGAGATGACAAGCTCTTGGAACACTGATGCTAATTTTCAGTAAATGCTGAGGCTACAGAAGACTGCAAAGAAAATAAAACTCTAACATAATTTAAAATGAGAACATAATAAAACTCTAACATAATTTAAAATGAGAACATCAGTCTGATAGGTTAGCTTGGTATCAGCCTTGCACAGAATCCTGGTATATAATCAACAGGAAAATAAAGGATGATGGTAAAAAGTAATGCTAAACATAGACTTACAGAAAATAGGTCTCGCTAAATAAATTTGGTATGGCTTTCTGACAAGAATATAGGTTGGACTGGATAAAAATACCCTGCAGTTTCTGACCTACTATACTTAGATCTCTGTAAGATTTAGTGCTACACAAAAGTCTGATTTAGAAGTTAGTCAACATGAAGAAAACCTGGAATCTAAAACCACCTCATAAATTATTAGCGAGGCTAAAGAAAAATATTTTAAATCCACCTTGTCAATAGTTAAAGCTGTTTTCTTAGCTCTTAAAAATCATAGCTCATTATAGGCTGCAATACTATAAAAAGCTTCTTCCTATTTAACTTTTTGTGTGGTTGGGAAAAAAAATCATATACACACACAGTTAAAGAAAAAGGGAGGAGGTATACAGTCACTTTAAACTTTTGCTCTCATAGATTGTTTCTCAGGAGAGAAAACTTCAGCATTAACAGATTTCCTCAATAAAAAAACCATCAGTGCACTTAAAAGCCATATTTTCAGGAACAAAAAAAAAAGGTATACTTATGAAAAATCAAAGCCAGCTCCACACACGTGTAACATCTTGCAGCACTAAACTTACCTAGGCGATACTTCTTGCATCCAGAGTCACCTGGAAACATTACAGAGGATTATTTAACACTTTTGACAAGGACAGATGTGCAACAAATTATTACGTATAAGCTGCTCCAGGGTCTTACCATATGGCACACATAAAAGAATTCAAGGAAAGAGGGAAAACTGCATGACATTTTAGCTTGGTTGAAAGCACACACAGGTACTGATTCCAAAAGAACTGGCAGAGTAAGGTGCCATCCCCTGTGCAAGAACTTTTTCCTACTGTGTGAATCTTCACTGCTGATGTTTTAGGGAAGGTTCAGTGCTACTCAGTTGAAGGATTACATAAAAGACCGTAGCTGATAAAATCTGCACAGAGTACCCAAAGTGGTGAAGGACAAATAAATAAGAGTAAGTCAACCCTGTTCCAGAGATCTACACCATACATCACACTGAATTAAAGGCAAAGACATGGCTTTGGGTATACAGCCCAGTGCAACACCCTCCACACACGAGAACCGAGGGTTTTTTCACACTTACAGGATGAAGAATTCTGCTTGGTAATGGAGCAAAGCAAAACAAAAACTCCTAAGACACAGTGAATTCTCAAACACATACAGGAACCCAGCAAGCTGGAACTGCCTTCCCAAGCAAAAACCCCATGGATATTTAATATGTCAAATTAGAACAGGAGAGAGAACAGGCTGTTGCATCAATACCTAGCCTTAGTGAGATTCTTGATGGTGTATTTACCAAGTTCAACTTCCATTCTAAAGGAGAAAAGTTAATGAACATTGATGGTGCCTGAAAGCCCTGTCTTAAAAAGAAAAATAATGGCTTTGTTCTCAAAGTTGTTCTTATGAGCTTAAGACCCAGAATAAAAAAATTCAGAGAAGCTCCTAATTAGTAGCTTATATGAAGAATGGAACAAAAGTCATTAAATATTATTAACTAGTCATATGTACTGCTGTATTCTAAATTAATTACTCAAGGACTATCTATTTGTCATTTTGGAGAGCTTAATAAGACTATCTGACCAAGAGTGGAATGATGAACAAAAAGTGAGAAAAGATTGTATTGGATTAAATGGCAGAAAATTACACAGAAGTTCTGAGATGATTAAATAAATAATTGTGGATTTTCACCTAAAATAGTCTTCAGTTCTGACCAACTTCTCCTTGTGATAAAAACCAAATGGCTCAGAAAATGGAAAGAGCTCAGAGAGGTGTAAGAAAAAATATTAAGTCTTGATTAAATGGGATGTTTCAAGATTCTTAAGACTTCCAAAAGGAAATAAGTGGATGAAGAGAGAAAGGCAGTAACTCTACAAAATTTGCATAGAGAAGTTCAGCTAGCTCTTCTTCTCACCCTTTGGCAAAATACTAGGCTGCACCATAGTGACCAAAGCCTTTGGAAAAACAAAGTTTTTGGTCAAACCAACTAAATGGCAACATATCAGAGTTCATAGAAGTGAGCACCTTCAGTACAGCTTACATAGTTCATGAATGCATGGCCCATTCTTTGGCCCAAACGTGGGTAACTGGATAGATCGTTATGTTTTCATATAAAATGATATCACATAAAAGTCCATAAAAACTTCAAGAACAGAAGCCACTTATCCAAGTTTCCCATGTTGGAAACGCTTTATTCCTAAGAGTTCTGGCGGAATTTTAATGACCACTCCCAGTAATTCTTCCCTAATAGCACCTTCCAAAGGGCCTGATCAGTTGCCTATTGAAGACAAAGTACTGACTTGAAACAATCTACAAATCCGTAAAGAGCTGTTAAATGCCTCTATCCAGAACAAAAAAGCGCCTTTTAATCTCTCACAGCACTGAAACCAGGAACTAACAGATTACTGCACATATTAACTTCGTTCTCTTCTCACCCTGATTTTCCCCACCACCCTAAAACTGTCAATGAATAGTGCTAAGCAGAACAAGACAGTGAGCCACTTAACTGTCCAAACCAAAATGAAGAGGGAATAGAAAGGTGTCAAGCTCCGTAATATACACTACAGTAGCATCACCAGCACTGCCCAAGCATCCAAGCCTATGGACCAAAAGCCTAAAACTCAACACATGGTAACACCTTAACATCTCTTTTCTCCAGACCCCTCCAGCCACTTTTTCCATCACCAGCTTAGTTTGCCAGGACAGGAAGAAACAACTATTGTTCCTATCTGCTGATCATTGTCAAACGCACCAGGAAACATCGGAATAATTTTTGGCACGCCCCAGGCCCTGCCGCTTGTCCTGCCAGCATCGAGTGGGGATGAGCCCAAGGGCAGCCAGGGGAGGCCAGCCCAGCTCCCTCCAGCCGCGCCACGGGCACGTCCTCCACACCCTCACCAGGGAAAGGCACCGAGGAGCCAGCGCTGCCGCTCCATCCTCCCACGGGGGATCCCACCACCCCCGTGGTGCCGTGCCAGTGACACCGGGCACCGCGACGGGACCGTCCCCCTGCCCGCTGGGTCACCGCCACCGCGGCGGGAACGCCCGCCCGCTGCCTTGTGCCGTCACCGCCATCGCTGCGCCTGGCAAACACCGCCGCGGTGCCCCGCAGGGCAGCTCGGGACCCCCGAGGGCGATGGTGATGGCACCCCGGGGAGGACACCCCGAGCCAGGGCCGTGGCGGGAGCGCAGGCGAGGCGCCCCCGGCCCCAGCGGCCTCGATGGCGCGGCACCATGTGCCGGCCCTCCCCGGGCCGCGCGTCCGCCGCCCGCCGGCTCAGGCCCCAGCAGCCGCCGCCTCCCCCTCCATGGCCGCCGCTCTCGCCGGCTGCATTGTGGGAAGCTGACCTCACTCGCTGCTGCCGCCGCCCCGCCGGCTCCGGCACTCGCCGCCATGGGGGCCGTGACCGACGGTGAGACCTCCCTCCCTCCCTTTCTCCATCCTCCTCTCCTTCCTCCCGCCCCGCGCCGCGACCCCCGCCGGGGCTGCCCGCAGCGGCGCCCGGGGCCGCTCACCCCGCAGCCGGGCCTCCATCGCGGCCCCGGCCCCGCGGCTCAGCGGATCCGCCCGCTGTGGCTCCGGGAATGGCTCCCTGACGGGCCCGGAGAGAGCCGCGCGCGGCGCCGGGCGGCGGCTGCCATGGCGTGAGGCTTTAACCGGAGTTTTTCCTCAGATGAAGTTATCCGCAAGCGGCTGCTGATCGATGGCGATGGAGCTGGCGACGACAGGCGGATCAATTTGTTGGTGAAGAGTTTCATTAAGTGGTGTAATTCCGGATCTCAGGAGGAAGGGTATCTTGTTGTTTTGCTTTGGTTTATTAAGTCTTGGAACTGCTTAGCTGGCGTTTCAGTGGAAAGCGGGGCTCTATCCATTTGGAAGAGATCCGCGTTAAAATGTGCACAGCTGCCTTTCCTTGGCTCTGTGGTGCTTCCAGGACAAGCGCTGTGCAGGGAGAGGAGGGCTGCAGACGGGTCAGGAATCACTGAGGGCTGCGGGCTGGCTCGTGAAATCTGCCAGCACCGCTCCAATGCCCCCAGGATTGCTGTGCCTGCTGCGTGATCCAGCCGGGAGCCCCGCTCTTGTAACACATCACGGCTCGGATATTTTACTTGGCAGTTCTGCCTTTGTTCTGTTACGGAAGGGAAATACTGCTGGTATTTCTGTTGCTGTCGTTCTCTCTTTTTCTTTTTTTTTTTTTAAGTCTAAATTAGTAAGGTACGAGTGACAGCCTTCTGTGGGGTCTCTGTTAGTAATGGATATAAATCACAATACTACCAGTGTGTATACAGAGAAGCACTGCACTATTAAAATACTAATTTGGTGGTCACAGAGCCAACCCGAGCTGGAAAATTTATAAGCCCTGTGTCAAACTGCTCACTGCTTTAATACTCACTTTACACTGATAAGGGCATGATGCTGGAATTAATGTGTAGTGTTTTTAACTGCGCCTCCAAAAAATTACACACTGACTCTTTGAAGTGTTTTCTTTATTGAATAATTGCTGTTTAGCTGTCCCTTAAGCTACCTGAACCTTTGTTTGCTTGCTCTGTGAAGTGAGGAACTGTTTTTATGCTGCTTGAGAGCAAATGTCTTGTCTGTTTTCAGATACAGCCAGTACCAACGGATGCTGAGTACTTTATCCCAGTGTGAATTTTCAATGGGAAAGACTCTGCTGGTGTATGACATGAACCTGAGAGAGATGGAAAATTACGAAAAAATCTATAAGGATATAGGTAAACATGAGAAAATGTTACTGGTTTCTGTTTGACAGTTTCTCTTATGAACAAGCTCAAGCCAGTTCTGGTGAGCGTAATATACACATCTGATGAGTGATGTGGAGGTTTTTTGGGGTTGTTTTTTTTTTCCTTACTAGACAGCACTTACATATGTGCTATGAGCATCTTGTAATTATGTAGATTACATACAAACAAGAGCTTTTTTAACCTATTGATGTGTATATAGTTTTTAAGGTGATGGAGCTAACAAGCCACCATGTCACAAGCAGCTCTTTTATAGTTTAGGATAATAGCTTATTGACATGTATCAATGTAACTCTATATCTTTCTTATTATTTTTTTCCTAAAGAAAACAGTATAGCTGCAGCCCATGAGAAGATCTCTGAATGCAAAAAACAAATCCTGCAAGCAAAAAGGATTCGAAAAAATCGCCAGGGTAAGGTGCCATATCTGTATTTACAGTGGTGGGCTTCATTGGTTTGTTATCTTTTAGAATACATTGTATTGGAAAATAGATTCTAATTTTTTGAAAGTGCAAGGCATCATGATTACCATATTCAGCCTGGTGGGTTCCAGTGACTACTGAAAGTTTTGGGTGGTGACACAGGCAAGATTGAACCAGCTCTCAATGACATGCAACATCAGGAAAACCTAAAACAGTGTTCTTTCTGAACACCTGTTTTAAGAGGTGTTTTTTTACCCTACTTTTAAAATTGTACACTCATAATTCATTGAAGAACAGTTGAGAAGGATCAAAAAATGTTTTTTTCATGATAAATGAAATGCCAAAAAGAAATTTTAGAAATATTACGTGAAAGGTTTTAAGTACAACTGTTTGAACAATGCTGTGGATAATTTTGAACTCAACTGGAAATTAGAATAACCTTAACCAGTAGGAATGTGGAGTTCTTACATCTTCACAAACATAGGTCTGAAGTGTTTGCTTTTTTAGTATGTTCTGTCCAGTCTGCAGCACAAATTTTTCCAGGTGAATGAAGTAGTTGTCATATGTATAGTCTTACTATCAGGAAATGGCTGTGTTAGTTGCCTGCATAACCATAATATTATTCTTAATGTGTAATAGTTTTTTTAAAAATCCTAAAAATGAAAAAAAATCCATGCATCATTTTATGCTTTTTTCTAAAAATCTTTAATGTTCATGTGTAACATCAGCACCGTTTTCTGTACATATATATTTGATTTTATCTAAACCAAACGTTTATGAATCAGACACAAAAGACTAAGTGTGCAGCAATGCCAAGCTATCTCAAGAGGTTTTGAAAAACATTGAAACAGAAAGATTTCAAAAACATTTTCAAGGAAAAAGAATCTGCCATTCTATGATACCTGAGTTTGGGTTCTTGAATCCGTATTTTCAGAAGTATTTAGATTAACTATTGAAATGTCTTTCAGAATATGATGCATTGGCCAAAGTCATACAGCATCACCCAGACAGACATGAAACACTGAAGTAAGTATAAAACAACATTAAATTATAAAAGAGCAGTAAACTTGAAGTCCCCAGACTTGACATTTCCTTGATTTTAGTTTGACTTTTCCTCACATTTATAGAATTTCTTTGACACAATAAAAACTTGTATTTCTGTACCCTTATGAGCTTTCCTTTATCTCCCATCTATTAGGGTCAGAATCATTGTTAATTGTTCTGTAGTTGAAATTTTCCCATCGTTAAGGTGAATAAGTGAACTGAGATGTAAATGCACATCTGATGTCAGTGAGTTGCTCAGAAAAGGGAGATGGTGGGAAGTCCTTTAACTTGGCACCAGCCAGATTCAGTAGGCACTCAAAATGTATAACACACAAGCAAGTAAGGTGGAATGAGAGAGAACAGGAGAAAGCTCCGAGGGTTCTTTTTTATGTTTTCCTTCTGGTTGTTGTTCCTGCATGCCCAGTTATAAATGGCTGTGTGGTGTGCCACACGTAACCTGCCCTGGCATGCAGGGCAGACCTCCCTGTTGTCCAACCTGTCTTGTGTGTAACTCACAGTGCTGCTTGTCACATTCTGGGTTTGCATCACTGTCTGTGCTTTTGGGGCAGTTGTGGGGAGATTAACTCTATTGAGCCATACAAACATTCCAGGATTTGTTGCATCTATGAGTTTGTTGTTCTTAAACTGATTAAAGATGTGGTGTGGGATTACTGTTCCCATATAAGTGCAGCTGTACATTTATCCTCTTCCCACTTTCAGTGAAATTGCCAGGGGAGGCTGTCTTTTCATATTCCATAGTCTTTCATAGCAAATGGAAGTGATTTGGTTATACTATTACCCTAATAATAGCATTTTTGTAGCTATAAGCCACTGACAATATTTCACACATTTCTTTCTTGTACGTTGTTTTTCTGTGCCTTGATTTCAATACCCCAGCTTTGATAATTACAGGCAATTCTCATGAGGCTTGACTACTTACTTCATTAGTCAGCATGTGATATTTATCAAGTGAGGCTTTAGTAAAGAGCTACCAAAAATGCAGTTTTTCAGATAAGTCAGTTAATAATAGAAACAACTAAATGAGAGAACTTGTGACTGTCCCATCCCTGGAAGTGTTCAAGGCCAGTTTGGATGGGGCTCTGAGCAATCTGGTCTAAGTGAAAGATGTCCCTCCCCTTGGCAGAGGGCTGGAACTAGATGATCTTTGTGGTCTTTCTAACCCAAACTATTCTATAATTCTGTGATAAATGATACTTTTTATCTTAGAGGATGCTGCATTGTTTAGGTTTGGAGGAATTATTCTAGTTTTGCTTAACACATCCAAGCATAAGTTTCTTAAGCAAAGCTAGAAAGAGTGTTAAGTTATAGCTGGTAAGAATGCAGTCTGTAGGAAAGTACACAGAAAATGATACAATGAACCAAAGGCCACCCTTAATTCATAATAGAGGAAGCCTCACTAACAATGTCAATCTTTTCATGAAACTCTTAATCACTAAAAACACTCTAGAAAACTTCTTGTGAGAAGAAAGAGAAGGGTTTTATTGCAAGAGTAGCTTTTGCAGGATATCTGGCACAATAGGACAAAGTTTAGAAAAATACTTTCTTTGTGCTTTTAAGAGTCTGTTTCTTGGAACAACGAGTCATAGAGCACAAAAGAAGCTGTTAACAGCTTAGTCACAAGTAGTGCACAGGAGCCAATTCAGGAAATGATAGGAGCAGAAGTACTGAACAACAGTGCCCACAGTGTAATTAGATGCAGTATCAGAAGAGCTGTTCAGAGAACCAAGAAATGACACAGCCTTAGAAAAGGAGATATGAAGGTAAGAAGGCTAAGCAAAGATTATCTGGAATGTAAAGTAAAAGGAGCAAAATTCCAGATGTAGCTCGGATGTTACTAGAAAAAAAAGTCTGTCCTCTCACAGTCTGCTTACACCTGACAGCACAATGTTAACAGCAAGATTTGGCCAAATCTTTGCAAGTTTTTCAGAAACTAGAAACCAAGTGCTTCCAGAATCAGTGTATGAGCCTATAAGCTGAAGAAAGGGGTAATGTCACACACAACTCTCTCAGGTATTCCCATTGAGGTGCCAAGCATGCTGGCTCAAAAAAAGACAAAGCCCTCAGGTAGCATTAAAATAGACCTTTTCCCATCCACAGGGAGGTACTTAGGACTGGAGGGCTTTTTGTGGTTCCCTACCCAGACTAGTTGCACCAGCTGTCAATGGCTTCAGGAAAAAAGGTTGGTTTCCTTGCTGACCCCTCTATGACTCTGCCTGCTAATTAATCAGGGGTGATCAGCCTCAATCCACTTCACCTTTAAAGGAGCAGTTTGCTCTCATTGCATGGTGCATAAATTATGATAGGCATTAGAAGTAGAAGGACCAAACTGGAGGTTTGGCTGTAAGAGTTGGTGCTCCATCCTCATTTGAAAGGTATATTATGGTACCTGCTGTTCTTGGCCTCAAAAAGGATTGTGGTGGTCCATGGTGAGCTCAAGTGAGAGCAGAAAGTTCTTCCCCCTGAGGGTGGTTGGGCACTGAAGAGACTCCCCAGGAAGTGGTCACAGCACAATCCTGACAGAGTTCAAGGAGCATTTGGACAATGCTGTCAGGCACAGGGCATTACTCTTGGGGTGTCCTGTGCAGGGCCAGGAATTGGAGTTGATATTCCTTGTGGGTCTGTTCTGGCTCAGGATATTCTAAGATTCTATGAATCTGCTTCTTTGACTTGTATTGTAGGGTCAAGTAAATAACATGTTGTGTCAGCACTGAATTGTTACAAATGCCCAGGGTACAACTGTATTCCAGCTTGGAGGCCTAATTTTTTGTCAAAGTCCTGAAATTACAAGTCTAGAACATAATAGTTTAAAATTACATGAAGTGACCTTACCTCTAAATTGTTTCATTTGTTTTGTTTACATAAATGGTATGTTTTATATACTGTTTCTCCTTTACTTAGGGCAAATCTGTTTTGCAAGAATTTTACAGAATTTTTAAAGAATGCTCTGACAATCTCTTTTCAGGCAGCTAGAAGCTTTGGGAAAAGAGCTGCAAAATCTTTCTCACATTAAAGAAAACGTTGAAGATAAGGTAGGTTTTTCATAGAGATGGTTATATAATAATTTATTAGGAATACAGTTAATGTAGAGTCTGCTATGGGTTGTTTGGCTGTATGTGCTCTCTGTTTCCTACAACATGTATTTTATCGTTCCAGTTGGAGCTGAGAAGGAAGCAGTTCCATGTTCTCCTGAGCACCATCCATGAACTTCAGCAAACCCTGGAGAGTAAGTGCTGTTCTTTGCTAATAGGTATAACTGGGTTGTGTTTCAGCAGATCAAAAGGAATCACAACTTCCAGCAGGGGGATAGCTCTGTGCAACTGAGGCTGGTGACCTCTTGCATTGGCAGAATTTTTTCCCAGTAGTAGTCCAGAGCCTGAGACTGCTCCAAGTTTTTTTTCTTCTACAAGCTACCCACTGTGCCATTTCCTTACTAGCTTCAGGTTAATTTGTAGGCAGAAGAATTCTTTAAAATGTGAGGATAGAGAATAATCATTTGAGGTTTGGTTTTTTTTAACAAAGTATTTCTTACAGAAAGTTATTCTTGTGCTTATTTCTGAATTTCATTTTATAATTCCTATTTCAGTAGTTTTGAACATGTCACTGCTACCATGGTATCATTTGAGGCTTTACTAAAAAATAATTTAAATACAAGGAAGGTAAATGACAACCTACTCAGACTGTGAAGCTGTGGTAGAGCAGAGACTAAAACTGTCAGACACGAGAACTAAATTCAGGAATTAGTCGTACTCATCTTTTCTCATACAAGTACTTAATATTTTCAAATCAGCACTAACGTTTTGTGCTCTAATATGGGTAATATTGTTTTAAATATTTGCTGTGTATTTGCCTGTCTTTCAAAGACAGAACAATTGGTACAGCCTTTGAGCATGACCTGATTAAATGCAGAGATGGCTCTAAGAGCAGACTCTCATTCTCTAAGGCCATCTAGATCTTCTTAAGCAGAATGAACTGTTAATCCTAGGTGCACTTTAGCAGAAGGTTATTGTTAATATGTGTTACTAACACTTGCTTAAGTATTAGTCTTGAAAGTGCATTTTCATATGAATATATAGATTAATCTTCAGGATTTTGTGAAGGAAGTAGCAGTTTAGTCAAAAGCACAGCTTCAGGATAAAATAAATAAACCATTAGTAGACAAAGAGAAAGAAGGGGTTAGAAGCAATCTGGTACAATTTGGTTCAATTGACACTATAGAATTTACCCCATATTTCCAGTAACAGCTGTTAGAGATAACATCCTGACAAACTGAAGGATTATTTTGTTTGTTTGAACATAGCATTTTTTAGAATGAGATACTCAACTACACACTTAAGGCAATCAAAATAAAATATTTCAGTGGGACAAAGTTCTGCAATATAGTCTGTATATATGACCAAGCATGTCTGACTAACAGTAATATTGAATTTTAGATGATGAAAAACTTTCAGAAGCTGAGGAATCACAAGAAACTCAGATGGAAGCAGAGGCCAAGCAGTAGATGTCATATGAAGACTGAATTACTACTTAAGAAAGTCCAAGTATCTTCACTTTCTGTTGAAATCAACAGTAAGAGAGAGGAAGCTGGAAATAGTTTTCTACTGCTTCTGTGAATTTTTATACAAAAGTACGTGTTTTGCATATGTTTCAGGGGAAAAGAGTTGCAGATGTTTGCAGGCAGGCACTCAGTGTTAATCCACAAACTTTGTAATTTGTGACAAATATACTTTGTTTCACAAAGGATGAAGCTTTTACACCATACTTGTGAACTGAGGTGTTTGTAAAACTTTGCCAATAAAAGGTGTTTTCACAGATTTTCCTATTTTTAGTAGGGATTGAACCTTATAATAAGGACTCCTTTTCTTACATGACGTCAGACTGAGGGCAGTGCATTTTTTCATAAGTCCCAGCTTCCATACCCTGTTCTAGATGGGACCTAAATCTGAGCTAAGTAGGCTCTTAGTTTTTTAAAGTAGCTGCCATTTACAACTCACTGTGACTAGACTAGAATTTGATCATTTCATATAAAATAAACTACTTCTATAGAATTAATGCTTGTTAAGCCTTATAAAAAACCAAAACTGATACTGTACTAGCTTTAATTTTTTTTTCTAAGTGATGCAGAGAACTGCAGTGATCCCAGCCTTGCTCTGCTGTGTTTGTTGTACCACATCAAAAGTCACATTTTCAAATGGCACATTTAAAACTTCAATTTAAAAGCTTTGTTCTTGAAGAACCAGGAATCTAATCCCAGTACCATTTATAATCTGCTTCTGAATTTTATCTGTCAATTGACTATTATCAAAATACATCATAATTTCTGAAACAGATGGTGAACCCTTCTTTTCTCATGATGAAAAACTGAAGCAGTAGAGCAATAATCATGATGTTAAAGAAGCAGAGATACTTTTGTTATTAGTAGTCAAAGTGGAATCTATCCATCCACCTGGATCATCCTGCTGTCTGAGCAATCTGTTGGGAAGTAAGAAAAGTTTCAACCTTCCCAAAAGAGAAGAGAATGGAATATGCTCTGTGCTTTTGTAAGGCAGGGAGGAAGGAACAAGGGGCAGTAGTAAGTCGTGTTCTGAAAACACTCACTAAAATGGAGCCTTCCAATGATCTGGGTAAAGGAAAACACTTTGGATCTCACTCGGGCTGTGCCATAAGCATACCTGGTTCAGGTGAAATAACAGTGTCACATGGAACAGAGCTGCTGTCTCACTGGGTGACAGCTGAGGGGGATTTCCACTTCAGACATGTATAACCTAGATGCTGTGTAATTCCCACTCTCAGTGGCTGTGGATCTGTGTGGATTGGGCTGAGCAGACAAATCTGAGCTTGTTTTGTTCACATTCCAAGTTTGCTAAAGGCAAGCCAGCTGAATAAGAAGTCACACAGCTTCAGTAGCACAGTGCAGCCCTGAACTAATAAGCTGTCAAAAGTCTTCTAGTTCACAGCTGGTCAGCTCAGAACACAGGGGAAGCTCAGGTTTGTCTGATGGAGCCTGTACAGACATGCAGTGCTTCTCGTGCACTCTGAATTTGGCAGCTGGAGGGGTGGCTAAGCAAACAACAGGCATTTAGTAGAAGTACACCACCAAAAAGTATTAACTGTACAGCATTTTTCCCCTCATAACAACAGGGAATGGTAAGATATTTTGTAAAGCAGCAACACTGAATTATTGCCAAATCAGGGAGGAGTCATGGTCGTGAATGTATGAATTATGAAGATCATAAGTGACAAGGACTCAAGGACAATTTTAAAGCATATTAATTTTTTTTGTGGTCAAAATGGCCTCCATGAGCTCTCTGGACTATTTTGATGCAATATTCACCAGTTAAAAACAGTTTGTAACAGTGAGAATCTCAAATTTTTCCATTCATTGTTTTACATAAGCATTTGGAAATTATTTGGATCATCAAGTATCTTATCTCAGAACTTGCACTGCTCTGTATAGAAGCTGACCAGAAACATGCCAACACCTAAGTCTGTCCTGGGAAGGAATATTTACAGAGAAATAAGGGTTGTACACAAAGCTGTCAAAAGTCTTCTAGTTCACAGCTGGTCAGCTCAGAACACAGGGGAAGCTCAGGTTTGTCTGATGGAGCCTGTACAGACATGCAGTGCTTCTCATTCTCTGAATTTGGCAGCTTGAGGGGTGGCTAAGCAAACAACAGGCATTTAGTAGAAGTACACCACCAAAAAGTATTAACTGTACAGCATTTTCCCCCTCATAACAACAGGGAATGGTAAGATATTTTGTAAAGCAGCAACACTGAATTATTGCCAAATCAGGGAGGAGTCATGGTCATGAATGTATGAATTATGAAGATCATAAGTGACAAGGACTCAAGGACAATTTTAAAGCATATTATTTTTTTTGTGGTTAAATTGGCCTCCATGAGCTATCTGGACTGTATTTTGATGAAGTATTTACCAGTTAAAAACCGTCTCTGTAACAGTGAGAATCTCACATTTTTCCATTCATTGTTTTACATAATCCTTTGGAAATTACTTGGATCAGTCTAAGTCTGTCCCTCTGGTAAGGAATATTTACAGAGAAGTAAGAGTTGTACACCAGAGAAGCAATACAAATGCATGGCAAAGGAATATATTCTAGTTCAAATTACAGTGATACAATCTTGAAAATAAATTACTGCCCTGGAAAATCAAGTTGCCCTAGTCAATGTGGCAGGAAGAAAATTATGTCACCAGGCCAATCAAAGAAAAAAGTAACATCAATTCATTGCAAACACAGCCCCAGTGCAACATCCACAATATTTGCTCCTATTTCATCAATATTTATACCTCTAACCTCTTGAACATTAGATTTGTACCAAAAAAGAAAACCAAATGCAATTCATATACCAGCCGTTATTTAACCTGCTTTATTACTAAGACTCAGGTTCCAGCTTTGAATCTGCCCTGCATATGCTGGAAATGTATAATTCTGCATGTCCTTTAATCTTCTGTTCCAGAAGTTTTTTGTGTGTCATTTTTGCAGGGCACACATGATGGTCACTGTTACATCCCTGCCTAGAAAGCTCTCCTCTGTCATGCTGCTTACCTGCATTGACTCCAAATGTACATGTATAAAAACCTAGGTACATAAATTCAGAATCTCAACAACCACACTATTTCAAAAAGCTGTTTCCTGGGTTTATGATTTTCCTTGACCCTATCTAAGCTGAAAAATTATTATATGCCTAAGTGGTCCATCTCAGTGCCCTTGTCATGTGGATGCAAAAATGCAAGCAGAAAGAGAGTTGCTGAAGTGATAAACTGACATTTTCAGTGCCAGGACTTGTTTTTCTGTCCTGTCCAAAGGAGAGCAGCAGAGGGAGAGTGGAACATTGGACAGAATTGGCAGCTTGGGCAGGACTTGCTAAGACATATTTGGCAAGCTTCATGAAGGGATGGAAGAAGGAGGAGAAAGAATGTCACACTGTCAAATGATGGGATATCTCTGAAACCATGTTAATTTGAAGAAAGTTGTTGCCAGCAAAGAAATTTTTTTTGAGAAAAAAAAGAATCCCAAAGATTTATGAGCTAGAAATTATGAGTTATTTGAGATACTTGTTTTTCAGATGCCACAGCTGGCTTGCACCATGCTTTCCTTCCTTTACTCAAGGCTCAGGTGGGTTACCTTTTCACATGAGTTAAAAAAGCTAAGAAAAAAATTCAGAAATGCAGGCAAGTACTGATAGTTCTGCTCTGGGAACCTGTGTGGCTTTTTCTTTCTAGACTAGCTGCATTAGGGACACATCCAGTGTATGAACCACTTTATAGATCTGTATGCAACAGACCCTGGGGGAAAGCAATTTAGCAACAGAGAAGTGCTCCACCTTTTCTGCTTCACTCCAATTGTCAAATGTGTTCTTGGGTTACCTCAGCCTTCATTTCCCAAGTCTGTTTTGATAAAGGTTGTTAGCACTGCTGCAGAATTGCCTGCACTCACAGCCCAGAGCTATGCAACACAACCCAGAGCTGTGTGTTGCTGGGCACTGTGCAAATGTAGAAGAGAAAGTGTTCTGTGTGCTGGGCAGTGCCACAGCAGCCAGGAGGCAAAGCCAGGTTTGGCTTTGGCTTGTGTCCTTCTGGCTTCTTTTGATTCACCTGGCAGCAGGAAAGTATCCAGCAGGAGCTGGCATGGCACGGCACGGCAGTGTGAGGCTGTTCAGCGATGTGCCAAAGGCACCTGGGGAATGGGACACCAGGACATCCCAGCCAAGGAAGCTCAGCATCCCTGTAACAAGGAGCTTCCCAGATATTCAAGAGTAACCCTAAAGCCAGGGATGCAGTATGACATGGACTTTGCCTGGGCTAGCAGAGTCCTGAAGGGAAGGATGAGTGCTTACAGCTCTGTGCCAGGTGAAATGGTGCAGGGCTTGTTCAACGGCAAGAGCACCTCTGGACCTGTCCTGGCCAGGGGCTGCGCTGCCTGTGTTGGGCAGCCATTGCTGGCTGAGGGGCAGGAACTGGACTTACTCAAAGAACCCACGAGGAAAGAGCTTGGGAACAGACTCGTTTTTCCACAGTTGTTAGGTTTGTGTCCGTGTGGCTTTTGTGAGGGGCCGCGAGCGGCGGCGGGGCCGGCAGGGGGCAGCAGAGGCCGGGCCGGGATCCGCGCGGGCATCCCTGAGAACATCCCTGTAAATATCCCTGCAAATATCCCTGCATCCATCATCCATCCCTGAGAACATCCCTGCGAATATCCCTGCAAATATCCCTGCAAATATCCCTGCAAACATCCCTGCATCCATCATCCATCCCTGAGAACATCCCTGCGAATATCCCTGCAGATATCCCTGTATCCATCATCCATCCCTGCGAACATCCCTGCGAATATCCCTGCAAACAAACATCCCAGAGAACATCCCTGCAAATATCCCTGCATCCATCATCCATCCCTGCGAACATCCCTGCAAATATCCATCCCTGGATCCATCCCTGCAAACATCCCTGTATCCATCATCCATCCCTGCGAACATCCCTGCGAACATCCCTGCAAACATCCACCCATGCAAACCATCCCTGCGAACATCCCTGCAAATATCCATCCCTGGATCCATCCCTGCAAACATCCCTGCAACCATCCCTGCGAACATCCATCCCTGCAAACATCCCTGCAAACATCATCAATCCCTGTATCCAACCCTGTATCCATCCCTGCAAACATCCATCCCTGTATCCATCATCCATCCCAGCAAACATCCCTGCAAACATCCCTGCATCCATCATCCATCCATCCCTGCAAACATCATCCATCCCTGCGTCCCATCCCTGCATCCATAATCCATCCCTGCATCCCATCGGTCCTTTCCTGGGATCCGTGCATCCATCCACGCACCCCATCCCATCCCATCCCACTGGACCGTTCCTGGGATCCATACATCCCATCTCATCCTACCCATCGTTTTCCAGGATCCATCCATCCCACTGGCCCTGTTCCCAGTGCTTCCCAGGCTTGTGAGCCCTTTCAAACATCCATCCCTGCAAACATCCATCCCTGGATCCATCATCCATCCCTGCGAACATCCCTGCATCCCATC